TACTCCACATCAGCCCTGCAGATGACAGCCTGGAGCGATGGCTGCTGCCCCACTGGAGACAGCACACTTTTAATGAAAAGATATGGTAGCACAGGAAGGTCTCCTGGTGTTGAAGGCCAACGAAGTGGAATTGGGAACTAAAGAACCCACACCCCAAATCTCAGCTCTAATACTGTGTAAAATGGAGATATTGACTTACACTCTCCCTCCTCGTTCCCCCCAAACCTTGAGCATAGAGGAGGGAATTCTGTGTGGGTGCTCTACAACTCCCACTTCCTGAGCATGGTCCGCTGCTGGCCTCTAGTGGCCACTGCATAAATTACACAGCGAGATGGCCTGAAGATGGGGTTGTGGAAGAATCTTTTCTCCACTTCTGAATCTACCTGATGTTGGAAGACCCATAACTCCCTTTTATTAAACTGATATCAATTTTATAATTTCATAAACTTGATATTTTAATGTCATTTTCATGGCTTTAGAAAACCGTTAGTCCAGATTTTAATTTGCCTTTGACCCAGTGAGGGGGAAAGTGTGCGTGTGTGTATGTGTGTATGTGTGTGTTTCTTTCATAGTTATAAGAAATTAGGTTTTTATTAATTGTAGCCAGACTATGGAATTTATGTAATTTTTCCTTTGGGGGATATTGAGGTATAATTTGTAGCCGCATTCATAATCAATTTGTAAAGTATCTGAGGAGTTATATATGCCGTGGGGGTAAAGTACAATACTAAAGCCAAAAATTCAGTCTTATTTACATATTGTTTGAATATGTCTAAGGTGACTGTCATTTCATGCATTTTTTCTGGGATGGAGAATACTCACAGATCTGCACACTTACCTTTTTCAGTGCTGGTGTCTTTATCCCAGTGTAAGTCTCTAATCTTCATTGTCCATATTCATCCTCTTGTCTCATTGTTTTCCATATGTCTTTCTGCTCTGCATTTGGGGGAAATTTTCAAAGGTGCAACTACAGCCTTAATTGACTTTTCTGCAGTGGGATTCTGCTCTTCTGCCTTCAATGAAGATTTCATTTCTGTCACTGGATTTTAGTTCTTTGTATTCTGTATTTCAGCAGGCTCTATCAATTTGCGGGGATTCTCATGTTTTATTGAAAACTCAAAGCAGACATTTTCTCAAATTTTCCTCTGTTTTCTATAGCAATTTATTTCCAGAAGTATACTTTTCCAGGATTCCCTTTAGAACTGGGAAGAAGAGCGCCTACTTGGTCCCTGTACTTCAGGATTTCCCACATACAAGATAATTAGATTTATTAAGGACCACAGATGGCTCTGTCACTCAGGATCTGGTACTCAGCACTGGCACAGCATGACTTAACCCTAAAACATGTTTGGGCTTCAGGGAGATGCTTCTTTACATCTTACTCTACGTCCATGGGGCAGAAAGGCAACGGCTTCTGAAGGTATAATGAAAGCTTCAGGGGACCCCAGCCAGGTCCTGTTTTGGCGTGCAGAGAGGCTTTGAGCAGAAAAGTACTTAAGTAAGAGAAAAGGCAAATTAATGAATTTGCCAGAGCTTTCCTCTCAGATAGCAGGACAGCAACAGATTTGAACACAATGAAATATCTTCTAGTAGCGCCGAGTGTAAATTTCTTCAGGTTTTCATATTCCTATTAGTGGTTCCAGAGGTACACATGAATTAGTACAGTATTTGCCTCCGTTTTAAATGGAAGCTCAGAACATTTTTGAAACATTACTAAATCACATTACACATTACTCTTAAATTTGTCTGTATGTCTAGACTTTAGACATAACATGATACCGATTCTTTACATTGGCAACTAGATGGACATTGAATGCTAGAATTATGAATTTTAACATTTTTATTTAAAAAGTTACTTACATTTTTAATTAAAATTTGTATTAAATTTATAATTTAAATAAAACATTTTAAAATTAAAAGTTACTTAAAATTGAATTAAGCTTTCAAAAATGAAATAAAATGTTAGGATTTATGTACACCGATTCTTTACATTGGCAACTAGATGGACATTGAATGCTAGAATTATGAATTTTAACATTTTTATTTAAAAAGTTACTTACATTTTTAATTAAAATTTGTATTAAATTTATAATTTAAATAAAACATTTTAAAATTAAAAGTTACTTAAAATTGAATTAAGCTTTCAAAAATGAAATAAAATGTTAGGATTTATGTAATTGCGATATAAAAATGTGATATGCATTGATCCTAATTTGTATTTTGCCTTTTGATTTATTAAACATTTTTAAGTGCTAACTTTTGGAAGAACATATCAAAACAATTAATTTAAAAAATTAACATAAATTTCTATTTTTATGAAAATATGTTTAAATTTTTGTATTGAATGTGATTATGTTTTTAATCCTTAAATATATTTTTAAATCTCGATAATAACAAAATTAGTGATTTTTTGCTCAAAAGAGGATAAGAAAAATAAATTTCATGGAATAGTTATAAACATTTATGAGTTATATATATATTTATTACTCATTTCAACATGGTCAGCCCATCAACAGAGCACCCAGACACATGCAATAGAAATTAAATTTGATTGTCTTTGACATTTTGCTAACTTTCAGTCTTCTACAAACCATAACTTCATACACATTTAAAAATTCTATTCTTTTAAAGAAATATTTGTCAGGATATGAGGAAAGAATATATTTTTTAACAGCTTTTTAGTTTGAATTATAACCTGTAAACGTTTAGGCAAATGATCTGTGGCCTCAGTTTGCCTTCTGGCCCCAGGCTGTGACCTTTGGAATTTATGTATGGGCCCCAGATGGGTTTTCCAGTTACTCGAGTGGATAGGAAGCCACCCAGGGCTCGTGTCTGTCACATTTGGGGAGGTGGAAGTAGAGGGTCCTTCCAGTCCCCCTTTGAGCACGGACATCATCCCTTTAAGATTTATGCTACGGGAAGACCCTCCCATAGGCAAATTTCCAGCGGTCCTGGGCTAAGGAAGACTCTCCTCTCACCCAGGATTCTAGTTCTGTATAGACAAGTTTATTTGGGTCGTCTGACGCTCCTGCAGATTTTTGGCTACAAATTTTCTCTCATAAAGTGGTGCCCTCCTCCTCTACCTCCACCCGAGCTGCGAGCTCCGGCTGGCTTCACATCCCAGGATGCAGTGTGCTGCTGGCCCACTGGAGGCAGTCCACAGACCGAGGGTACCGAGGGTACCAGGCAGTACTGCCTACTTAGAAAGCGCTTCCTACTTTCTTTCTGTCAGACCCTGCCTTCCTGTTTCAGAGGGTAGAGTGGCCATCAGTATCAAAACTTTCTCTTGCCTCCTTTTTGCTACAATTGGTGGAAATGTCTCCCAGACTTCCTTGGTGACTAATGATACCAAGATATGTGGTCATCATGGAGAGATGACAAGTTGTCAGGTCATCATTCCATAGATGGCTAACCCTACCCTGACTCTACTCGGCACGTCTCTTTTGGTTGCAAGTGACAGAAACCCAACTCAAACTTGCTTACACGAGAAGGGGCATTTATTGAGTTGCAGGATTGCAGTCAGGGCAAGAGTGTGTTTAGATCTCAGAGAAGGTGGACTCTGGGATTGGAAGCCTGCCTGGACTCTGCTTCCTCCTCAAGAAGGCTTATCCTCTCAGATGGGCTATAGCCACATGATTCCAAACTGTTGGCTTCCGGCCTCTCACCAGCAGGCTTCCTGTGAGAAGCTGAACTGCTCCACTTAGCTCCAATTCAAAATATGCTGTCACCTGGAGGCAGAGCCCTGTGAATCGCAGCCTCCCACTAAAACCCCGTGGATGGAGCTCCCCCAAAGGTAGTACTGTTCCCAGAAGCAGGGGGAGGTGGTAAGACAGAACACCCATTGCTCTCTACCCTTTCCCACCCGGTGGTCTTCATCACAGCTGTCACCCATCCTCCTAGACCCATCTGCCATTTCTGCCTGAAGCTGCCATAGCCTCCAGACAGAGTCAATTTGCATGGTTAAGACTGGTATTTTCAAGAGAGTGATGACATCACAGAACTGGGTTCTAGAAGGCCAGGGGGAGGCGGGCAGCACCCCCACCTTGTTTAGAACATGGAGAGCTGTGAGCCAGGTAGGGCTGAGTGTAGTTTGTGAGGAAGAGGAGGCTCCTACCCAAACGGCTTTGTTCTACAAATTCTCACATAAATCTCTGGGCCCGCTGGGACCTGGGGTCAGAGAGGGATAGGAGAAAGGTAAGCTTCAGAAGGGAAGGTAGGAAAGCACCTGCCAGAACCACTGTCTCCCCCAAGGGGACCCCAAGAGGAGACTTCATGGGCAGAGATGAAGCTCCCTGCTTCCTGAGGCTCAGTGACACCTGTCTCTGAAGGAACCTACTGAGCCAGGGCAGGGTAGGGTTGCCCAAGACATAATTATACTAAAAAAGTATTTGCTGTTTGTCTGAAATTCTATTATAACTGGGCATCCTGTAATTTTATTCGCTAAATCTGACAACTCTAAGGTGAGAGAGAGAAGCAAAATGGTTGCAAGCTCAGGCTAGTGTGGAGCGTCTTAGATCTATGAGGAAAGAAGGGTATCAGGGTAGCCATCTTGTCCAAGCAGAAGCTGCTTCATGCCTGACTTATGAAGCCAGTGGATGGAGGAACCAAGACCTTTGGGAACACGTGTGTCCACGCGCGCGCGCGCACACACACACACACACACACACACACACACCCTTAGTGACAGAAATAGCCCCATTCTTTGTTTTCATGGCATTGACTGTTTTGAAGGATATAGGCCAGTTGTTTTATAGAAGTTTCCTCTGTTCTGCTTTGTCTGATGTTTCCTCAGGATTAAATACAGGTTATGCATCCCTGGCCAGAGTCCTACACAATAAATGAGAAAAAAAGAGACTGGAAACAGCCAGGTGGGGAGCAGTGAGTGAGCAAGGACATTGGCTCTCCCCAGATTCCTCAGAGACTTAGAGAAGACCAGCAGGAAATTCACGAGACCCTAAAAACTGCAGGCCCTCAGCTGGGCCTTCTCCCCTCCAACGATGATGACGAGGGCACTTCTCATCTCCTTGGTCAGTTGCCTTGTTACCATTAGTAAGGCCAGACTCATCAACCGCTGTGACTTGGCCAGGGTGCTACACCAGGAGGACTTGGATGGTTTTGAGGGCTACTCCCTGACCGACTGTGAGTGCCATTTCTTTACACCTCCCACCCCTTCCTCTCCTCCTCTCCTGGTCATGCCCGACGTGGCCATCTTCCTTTCTCTCTTTCATCTTTGAAAGCTAAGTTCCAAAAGCAGCCCTCTGCAAGAAACCTTTCCCAACATTCCATATTTATTCAGCTATTATTAACTGAGCACTTATTATAATGTCCTAGGAACTATTTTAGGTGCTGAGGAGATGAACAAAGCTTCTTCCCTTATAGTGTTCACATTCTGGGGAAGAGATAAGCAGTAAACAAATACAAAAATATACGAAGCACTTCCTGGTGGTGATAAATGCTATGCAGAAGAATAAAGCAGGGGAAGGGGCAGGTGGCACTGTCCTAGAAGAAGAAATCAAGGAAAGTCTCTTGGAGAAGGTGACATTGAGCAGTGCCAAATGAAGTAAAGGATCTGACCATCCAAAGGTCTAGGGGAAAAGCATTCCAGGCAGAGGAAATAGCCAATGCAAAGGCTTTGTCCTACTCTATGGGAGGGATATCTCTCTTTTGCCCAGAATTTGTGCATACTTGTCTTACAACACTGTCTCTTTTTACTTTGTTTTGTGGACTTTTTTAGGTACCTATCTTCATTCTTGTGCTACAGGCAGGCCCTTCGAAGGCAGCATCTGCATTTGACCCAGCTAAATGTCCCTCGCTGGGCTTTACACAGTTCCTGGCACACAGTAGGTGATTATTAAGTGCCAGAAGCATGGAGGGACAGAGGGACAGATGAACAGTTACACTGATGGGTTGGTGGATGGACTGAAGAATGAGAGGAGAAGCTAAGGGGTATTCCTAGCCCACTAGCCCCGTCTAGCCTCTTAGGCCTTGTTCCTTTCTTTTGATTCTTCATCTTCCTTTCTCCTCCATCTCACTTCTTTCTCAGCCTGGCCCCCTCTAAACACCCTCTTCTCCCTGTTCTAAGGGCTATGCCTGGCTTTTGTGGAAAGCAAATTCAACATATCAAAGATCAATGAGAATGCAGATGGCAGCTTTGACTATGGCATCTTCCAGATCAACAGCCACTACTGGTGCAACGACTACCGGAGTCACTCGGAAAACATTTGCCACACAGAGTGTCAAGGTCTGTCCCGGGCCTCAGGGTGGGGAGAGGTGAGAGGGATGACCAGGCTCTACTCACAAAATTGCCCTTCCCACTCACAGCCTGGGAATGCCCCCAGAGGGATGGCTCAAAGAATCAGAAAATTACTTGAGTGAGCAGAGGGTTTGACTAGCGGCCCTACTGCCTGTCCAGTTAGGAGGTTCTGCTGTGTCCTCGAGCGGGATCCAGAAAGGCTCTGCATAGACAGTAGCAGTAGAACAGTCGCAGCAGCCAACATTTATTCAGAGCATAATCTATACTCAATAATATATACATAATATTACATGAATAGCTCATTTTATCCAATTTTCCATGCAGTAGAAACTGTTATGATCCCCACTTTACAGATGAGCAAACTGAAGCTCATAGAATCAGTGCTGAATGCCAGACTGGTGGTCCTGGAGGCTCAGCTCTAATCACTAAGTAGTATTGTCTTTGGATAATGTTCTGACCAAAGGCCAAGTTGCAAACTCCCCACCTCAGGCTCCTCAGGTCCGTGACTCTCTACTTCACCTCTTCTATCATACTCTGATCAATGTCCCTGGCTCTTCAGCAGGGGAACCTCCCCCATTATGCAGGACTTCACCTTGGTCTCTGTGCTGCCCTTTTTGGCATTTCATTTCCTTACAAACCACCAAACTTTGGGTAAACTACCATCTACTCTGGCTAGGAACTATGGTAGTAAACAGGCCCAAATCTCAGTCCTCCTGACCTTCCTGCCCCCACCCTAGGCCACCCCCGACCTCTAGCAGCCATTGTCGGGATGTCTAAGTGGGCCTCTGGGAGGGGAGCCTTGCCTAATCTGGAAGTACTCAGCCCCCAGGTGGCACACACCTGGGCAGGGAGAGCCAGTGTCTGCCTCAGTTTGGGGACTGTCCTCGGTGTTCTCACAGGTATTTTCTCTCTCCTTTTCAGAACTGCTGCGCCCCAATCTTCTCTCAATCATCCACTGTGCAAAAAAGATTGTGTCTGGAGCAGGGGGGATGAAGAACTGGTAAGGAAAACACTGTAGGACTAAGTTAGCAGTCAGAGCCCCAAGAAGGATGTGGTGACAGAGAAAGAGACAGTAGGCAAGGACTAGACCCATTCTGCAGTTTAGTAAAGTGTGGGATAGTGACGGAGCTTGGAACTCTGACTTAGAAGACCTAGGATCTCGTTCTTTCTCTGATATTGTATGAAACAAAACACTTTTGGTTGCAGTAATAAAGCAACCTGAGCTAGCTGAGGGAAAGTTATTCCAAGAGGACACAGTGTCTGGCTGAGCCAACACAAGGGGTACAGCTGGGGGCCTCGAGAAGAGAATAGAAGCAGGGCTGGAAACTGTCAGCAAGCTTTCTCTGGCAGCTTTGGGCTTCTCGTGGTGTGTTTGCTTCACACACTCCCTTTGCAGACCAAGTTTCTCTGCTCCACAGTCCACAAGACAGACTACAGCTGCCCAAGTTTATGCTCGAACATCCTAAGTAATCATAGTGACTGACTAAGCTCAGTCCCAGACTGAGTGCCTGGGATAGAGAATCTGATTGGTTCAGTTTTGACTTTGGGTCCTCGCTTTGTTTAATTAGCTGTAGCCATGGGAGCAATTAAAGCAATACAATCATGGCTGCCACAAAGTTCCTCTCTTTATAACGGGCAGCAACATTTTCTATAAAAAGTGTGTTGCTCCTCAGTTGGGCAGGCACCCCTAAAACTGTCAACTTACCAACGGTGGATGTTGGGATGGTTACTTAACTTTTCTGAGTTTCAAACTGGATGTGTAAATAATATAAATAGCTGCCTCTGCAGGTGACTGTGGGGATGGAAGGAGTTAAGTGCCTTGCATACTCTAAAAACATCATGCAAAAGAAGGGACATGATGACTGTTAGGACTGAGCCTTTCTGGAGGGAGAGTCAACGGTTGCGCATGGGAGATAAATATAGACAGACGAGAGAGCTAGGAATGAAAGGGATTCTGGACGTTGCTCTGTGTGGAAGACTAAGAGCTGGGTCACATGTGTGGAGAAGCAGCTACTAAGTGGGAAGCAAAAACCATTTTTGTTTTTCTCTCCACAGGGTAGCATGGAGGATACACTGTTCAGGCCGGCCACTCTCCTACTGGATGACAGGGTGTCGCCTGGGATGAGACAGGGGGCAGGCCTGCTGTGGAGTCATTCCAAAACTTTCCTCCCTTGGGAATATTTTATTTCTTTTTCCTCTTTCCTCCATTTCATGTTATTTTCTTTCCTTCCCATTTACAAAGAAAACTGACCAGAACCCCAGGAATAAATGGTTTTCTAAGGCTTCCTCCTTGTTTTCATCCCGGCCCAGGCCCCTGGTTCCTGACTATCATTTGCAAACCAAGAGGAGAACCATAATGAAGATATTTCTATATTTTTAGAATTATTAAAACATTCCTTGTGCAAAGAATGTGTTAATTTACTCATTAATTCTACATATATGTACGTACTCCATATAGTAGGAGTGTGCTAGGTACTAGAAGAAGGAAGATAAAACTATTATTCTTGAGGTGTTCATAATCTAGGTGAAGAAGCAGAGACATACATGAATCATGAATACAATGAATGAATAGATACATATAATGAATACAATGGATAATGAAATGGATAGTAAAATCTATAATTATTGGTTTGAAACAGTATCAGGATCCAAGTAATTCCTCCAAAGCTAACTATCTTAGAAGTAAAAGAAAAAGCTCAAAAGTAGGTAATGGGTGGGGCTAAGGATCAGGTATACTGAAGTGGAGAAAGTAGTGGTTGTGTGGGAGCAATGGGGCTAGGTGTCAAAGATTTTAGGGTACTTTAGAAGAACGGGTTAGAATCTAGATTTAAAAACTTCTTTGGGTGGGATCTGATTTGCTTGGAAGGTGCTGATGTGGAGCAGAACCTGCTTAGGGCAATGCAAAGGCAGAAAAGGGGCATCGGCGGAACATCCTGTATATAGCCACCATCAGTCTTGTCTGACTAAAGTGGGGTGTTATTTTGGGCTACTCATGTCCCTACTTTTGAGCCTTAACTGCTTCAGCTATAAAGTGAGAGACTTGAATATTCAATGATCCCTAGACTTTTAGAATTCACAGACCAATAAAATGTCAAAAAAATTAAGACCACGATAAGATTTCCAACTTTTTTATTTTAATATCCGAGTAAGAATATTAATCAAAATAACTATCCTCTATTAGCATCTCTTCATAAAACAATTTTTAGCATCAGAATTGCAGGGAGGTCATACTTGTGGATAATAAAATAGAATAGATTTTGTTTTACGAAAAAAATTTAAAACCTTGATTATAGTGTCTTTTTCTCATTTTGCCGAGTACAGGTGAAAACTTCATCACAGCCCAGCTTGGTTGTTGTTTAGGAACCCCAGGAAACCTGTTTTGTAAGTTTCCTTCTGGCTCTGACCTTCTAGGATTAAAGTAGGGATTTTTAGGACTGACTTTCCCTCTCAGTGAGGTACTCGCAAAATAGCTCAGTATCAGGAAGCCTACAACATTTCTTCTCAGGCACCGTGAGCTCCAATGTTAGTGCCCTACTAGGGCCAACTATTTGATTTTCCCAAAATTTTCTCTCTACATCACGCTGCCTCCCAATTTCCACATCATCTGACCTCATGGGCACACACATTCACAATTTACCAGAATCACGTAGGAAAATTAGGGAATTTTAAAAAAGATTTTCATGCTAGATTGTTAATGGCTTAATGAGTTATACCTTGATTTACATATTTAAAACTCATGAAAACGTTTAAGTCAAAGGATTGCATCTTTAGTGGTCATTTCCCACACAGAGGCATCCATCACACAGTCAGGAAATTTGAATTTTTAAGTTCAGTAGGTAATGCTATCTACAACTCTAATCTTCTCTAGGAGTGAAGATGAAGCCAGCTGCTATAAAAATGTCCCTACCCTTCGATCCTTGGGACTCTACCCTTAAAATACACTTGAACAGAGAAACACAAAACTCTACCACATCGGAGTGGTGGGGCGGTAGGAGGGGAACTAGAGGCGGAGACTGGTCTGAGTGGGCGGGGCGAGGGAGACCGGGTGTCGAGCTGGCCCCGCCCCTCGCAAGAGCCACTTTGAAAAAGGCGCGGGCGCGCCTTGCGCAGGCGCAGTGCCACTTGAACCTTAGCCGCGCACGCGCAGTGACGGTAGGATGGTGGAGTTAGTACCTTTTGCGGTTCCTACTGAGAATGACAAAACTTTGCTGGTTTGGGAGCTGAGCGCCGGACCCACGGCCGAGGACTTGCACGTGAGCCGGTCCAGGGTGGAGGGAAGGGTGGAGAAAGCCGCCTCTCGGTGACTGCGAGTCCGAGAGTCCGGCCTTAACCCTTTACCCGTCTTGTCTCCGCTGAGAGGGATCTTAGTTTTAGAGGGGACCTCAGCAGTCAACTCGCCCCAGCAGATAACTCTCAATAGCTAGCAGATGTTGCTTCTAATACTTCCGAATGTTAAGCTGTCAGAGGAAAACTTGTTCATGAAATGAGAAGTGTTTTGAGTTGCACCCTCTCCACGGTGGCCTTGGGGAATAGGAGGGAATGAGAAGTTTTGTTTTCTGGGCGTGATATTTCATGCACTTACTTGGCGTGGGACCACCCCACAGCATTCTCTGTTCACAGTGTTCTCCCAGTTTGGCCTTCTGTATTCAGTCCGAGTCTTCCCAAACGCTGCAGTGGCCCGTCCTGGTTTCTATGCCATCATCAAGTTTTATTCAGCCAGGGCTGCCCACAGAGCCCAAACAGCGTGCGACCAGAAGCAGCTTTTTCAGAAATCTCCAGTGAAGGTGGGTCCAAGTATAGAATTCCTAGCTCCATCAGAATGAAGTGCTGAATTCAGTAATAATAGGCTAGCATTTGTACAGCACTCTGGTTTATGGAATGCTTTCAGTTGCATTGCTACACCAGTCTCCAAATTTTTTTTAGATGCAGAAACTGGAACTCAGAATGGTTAAGGGACTAACTTAAGGTTCATGACAGTAAATGAAGAAGCTAAAAGTCAAACCTAAACTTACTAATGTTAAACCCCATGCCATATTATGCTGCCCCTTCATTTAAGAAATCTTCATGAGAAGTCTTGCTTATATTTACTTTTGTGTGGACTTAAAATAGGTAAGCTTGACAGGATCTTTAGTCAGTTGTAACATAGCGCGGATGCTTCCTTCTCCTCCTCCTCATCACTTAAACTGCCTATTCAGAACTCTTTTCATTGCCCTCGAAATGGTTAAAACTTCTTTAATGCATTGTAGAAATCTTATTCCATATTAACGTGCCATCCAATTTTACTTTCCCAGAGCTGCAGAATTGTATTTTATTATGTGCCTCAATTCAACCACCATTCCTTTTTCAAGGACTGTTTTAATTCCTATGAATAAGTAAGTGAGGCTTAGATTTCCCAAACTTTTTACTTTATAATTGTTTGTCTTCTCTGATTGGCTTCTTGATCTGGCTTTTACTGACTTTGCTGCCTATTCTTACCCATATTCCTTTCCTCATTGATTTAACCTTCATCAAATCTGAGAACTCTCCTCAGTGTGACTCCAGGTGTACTACCTTCACTTCTGTATGCCCTGTTATTGAAATAATTACTTGTCAGGCATTCTTTAATTTGCAGACTGTGACCTGCTTCTAGCCATTTCACATAGGCACTCAGATATTACAGGTGGTACTGAAAAAGTTAGGAAACAATTACTTGGTATCAGTGAGTAATGAGTTTTTTCTCTCTCATTGGACATTAATGCCATTTCATAAGCTTTAGGTTTTGAGATTTTCACAGCATAAAGCCCGCCGTTGATAGAGTGGTGAAGGAAATGTTCTACAAGTCAATATATAGTTGAGGGGAGAAGGCATTCATGTTCAATTTCTTTATTTAATGCAGTGCCTTGAGTTACTACCCCCCACTCCCGAAATTGTTATCTAGTTTAATTATGTGTTTTTTATACTTTGGCAGGTACATATGATTCCTGTCTTTTTTTGCCTTTTATAAATACAGAAATAGATTAACATCTTAAAATCAAGGAAAGGCCTAAGGCATCTGAGAGGTTTTTTGTTTTTGTTTTTGTTTTTTTTTTCAGTATCATGAAGGAAAATGATTGCCGACAAGAAGTACGGCAAGGTTACCCAAGGTGGCAACTGTCTACTGTCCATGGGTCAGAGAGCTTCTGAAGCTTCCTAATTGTCCAGAACAGCTCTACTGTGATTTACCGTACAGACTAGCCTCCCCATAGCACTCAGCACTTAAAAATTTATCTTCATTTCTCCTTCCTGGTAGGCAGCTTAATTTGGAAGGAGTAATTTTATTTTCTTATTTGCTCATTTTTTCATTCACTCAATCAACAGACCATTTATTTGTGCAGGGCTTTCTAAGTTTGTTTTATCATCACTTTTACCACCAGAGGTCAGGGAAATCTTCCAGTTAATCAAGGGTTCTGGAAATGATGCAGAAAAGTACTGTGACTTAAAAATAATAAATAATAATTAATTTACAGTTTACTATGAACTTATTGCTTAAAATGTTGTACCCTATTTAATCTTTATAACTACTCTATGAAATTGGTATTGATAAATCTCAGGTGTATTCAAAATAAGTCTTTGCGGCAGGTCGTAATATTTTTAGGTCTATCTCATGTCTTTAGGTTCGTCTTGGCACCAGACATAAGGCAGTTAAACATGAAGCCCTTGCCCTAAACAGCTCCCGATGCCAAGAATTGGCAAATTACTACTTTGGTTTCAATGGGTGGTCAAAAAGGATCATCAAGGTAAACTTCGTAGATTTTCTTTGACTAACCAGACTCCTTTCAACATTGAAATCCTAGACTTTAGAGTGAAGAATAGAACTGTGTTGTGGGGAGGAGATGTGAGAGGCCTGTAAGTGGAATTATCTGAATATTGGCCTGCCACCTAGTAATAATTTCATGGACTTGGGTGGTAGCATTCATAATTTTCTCAAATGTTTGCATGGTATATAATAAAAAAGTAATTGTCTCTATAGTAATAATAATAATTCATTTGCAAGTCTTACTTAATTTTGAAGCTATAGGACACCTCAACTGATAGCTGGGATTGCTGGAATTTAGCTTTTATTTCTAATCACAAAACATTTTGAAGTCTTCATTGAGATCCTAGGGAGGACCTTTAATTCAGAATCCTTACAGCTTCAGGATCTTTCTGACCTTGAAGAAAGGGAAAATGAAGATATCGTAGCACCACTTCGGAAGCAAAGCCTGAAGTTCTTCTGTGCTTTAGAGGTGATGTTGCCATCCTATGAGTGCAGGAGTCCTGGAGTCGGCATGGCCGAGGAGCCTTTGGATAAGCTGGAGGAAGGTCTGTTTCCAGTGGGTGGGGGAATCTCTCTTTTTTTTTCCTTTCTTTCTAAAATTCATCTTTTCAGATGTATCATCAAAACCTCCTCTTGCTAAACTAAAGCCCTGGGTAGTTTTTCTGCCTTACAATACAGGTTTTTAGGCAATACCTGACAAAACCTTTAGCTTTAAAATTTTAAATCTGACTTCTTGCTGAGCTGCTTAGGAGAGGGGAAATTATGTTTGTCCACTTTTGGTTAAGAATCTGCTTTGTGCTAAAATAGCCCTTCAAATACAGATATCACATAGCCTTCAGTTATTCTAGCAAAATAAACTCTAATGTAATGTTCAGTCCTTTGCTTCCTGTATAAGGGCTTGAGGAGAAAAAGAGTCAAATGTAGATACTTAGAAAGTGCCCTTTCCGATGGGTACTGATTTTTCCTAC